ACAATCCAAACCAACAGGTTTCTGACGTGCCCAAGGGACGCAACTCTGCACAGTGAATCGCGGCGCCTTAGACGACTGGGCCACCCGTGCACCCTCGTCACAATAGAGTTATTATGCTAATATTAGAAACACAAACTACCTGTAACATAGTTTGAAGAATACATGCTGAGTTGTTTGGAATAGCACAACTGAATGTGACCACATGACATCTCGATCTGTTTCTGACCATCAAAGCGTCAGCCGATCTTGCAGGAAAATCACTAGACACTAGAGCTCTGCAAATATAAGCGACAAAACCCTTTACATAACCATAAGTAATCTAAAAGTAGAGCCCATTACATGATTCCGACTCGAGCATAAGCATGTATTTATGAATCAACATGAAATATAGTTATGACACAAAGTGTTCGCGTAAAGGTAAGCGTATCCTGCTCCACGGGTGGCATTCGTCACAAACACACGCAAAGGTGAGCCAAGTGTGCATCTGAACAAACACGGAACATGTGGTACCAGACAAAATAGGGAATTGCACGGAACATCAGTTTAGTCATTTGTGGTTATGTAATAAGTGAAATAATCCTGAAGGCGACGTTAAACTCCATGTCAAGTCACCTATAGGAAATAGACATGATAGATGTCATTCGTAGATGCTCTATCCCACTCATTCAGCATTAAGGGTAGTCCCCTTCTTGCAATTCTATAGTTCGTTTTGGTTTCGTTTGTTGTTTTACGCCGCACTCAAGCTATATGACGTTGGTCTGTAAATAATCGAGTCTGGACCAGACAATCCAGTGATTGATATCATGAGCATCGATCCACGCAATTGGGATCGATGACATGCATCAACCAACTCAGCGAGCCTGACCACCCGATCCCGTTTGTCGCCTTTTAGACAAGCATAGTCACCTTTTACGGCAAGTATGGGTTGCTGAAGACCTATTCTTCACGGGTCGCAAATTCTATGTGTGTGTGTCTGCTTGTCCTTGTTTCATTCTTTGATACTGAGTACCAGGCAGGGTAACAACAAGTATCTTCATTTAACGTCTTTTTGGAATGACGGAACCAGGGGGTCGAACCACCGACCCTTCGCTCTCCGGGCAGATGCCCCATCCACTAGGCTACGGAGATGGTCTGTATGTGTATGAAAACATGGTCAAAATATAATATGATAGTTTCTGCAGAGTACTGCGAGGTTAACTGCATGGGATATGAATACAAATACCCCGTGAAGATCTGGGGAAGAATAGGTGTTCAGCAACCCATGCTTGCCGTAAAGGCGACTATTGGTATCGGGTGGTCAGGCTCGCGGACTTGGTTGATGCATTTCATTGTATCCCAATTGGATGGATCGATGCTCATGGTGTCAATCACAGGATTGTCTTGTCCAGACTCGGTTATTTACAGACCGCCGTCATATAACTGGAATATTGCTTAGTGCGGCGTTTAACAACAAACAAAGAATACAAAAACGCAGTTATACCCTCAGAAGTGGTTCTGAAATGTAGACAATTTAATCAACTGTGTATGTTAATTTCCTAATCACTAAGAAATTGCTTTACCTACAAGGTATGCAGATTCTTGTATACTTCGTGATCTTGCAATAGATGTTTGATTAAAAGGTGTCACCTTTCATATTATTACAAATATTGGTAAATAGAATTTCAGTATTCAATGCAATGAGTCGATGTGTAGCAACCAGAAATAAATATGTAATTTTAATAGTTTTTTTCAAGGGATTTTCACAGGCAATATACCACCGTTGCATCGTGTATTATGCTATACAGAACATTTGTTTGAAATGTGCAATATCAAAAATATTATTTGTACTACTGCTGGAGCGATAATCACTTGTGAAAGGTTTCCTTGTTCGCCAATCTAGGTAGTTTCGACACAATACAAACATAAGTGTTGAGAGTTATCAGTCATTGATATTAACATGGATTTGTCTTATCGCTCACCATTGATAGGATGGTGAGGTTGTCTAGAGGTTGATGTGATCGTTCCTTAGAGGTACGACACAATCTTAGGCTGGTTCGATTATCCACGATGATTAAATATGTGGCACTCATTCTTGGTGTCAACCACTTTTATTGGAGTATTGCTAAATTCTTTTCTTTTGTTTCCAGTTGGTTGTTTTTTTATTGTTGTTCTTCAAGATATTTGGTCGGTGGCCATAGTAAACATATAAATAGACCCTTCAATTGTATTTGGGCAGGGGGGGGGGGGGGGTACCTGAGGAATATACGGTCGATGGGATGAGAAAGGTCTTTATTTTCGTGAAATCTTCCAAGAATGTAACATATGGTATGCGGTTAATATAAAACGCCAAGGCCAGATGATAACCAGTCTCGATTATCCGCCGAAGAGGAATCCACTGGGCATAAACGGCAAAATAACGGTGATAATTATACGAATGGTTCACTGATATCAGAAACAAAGCATCACACTATTTAAGTGGGTGAGTTGGGTTTAACGCCGCTTTTAACAATATTCCAGGTATATCTCGGCGTGTCAGCTTAGTGTGGGAGGAAAGCCCGAAGTGATGCACGTCTCAGGCGTTTACCACTTCGGTGAAACCCACGAGCACGGGTATGGTGCTGACAAACCTAGAAACATAATCGGGGCGAACCGGGATTCGAACCCACAATCATAGGTTTCTGGCGTGCCCAAAGGACGCAGCTCTGCACGGCGAATCTCGGCGCCTTAGACGACTGGGCCACCACGAGTAGTTCAATTCTTATATGAGATATACCATTACGTACAGCCTCTTTAATTATGACGATAAAATGTACATGCTATACAAATATTAACCCGTATTTAAATAATGACGACTCGCTGATTACAATCCGACCTCGGCAAGTCGAACAAGTCCATTTTATCAACATGGGGTAGTACGTTTGTTATTTCCCGGATATTCTCACAATATTCACGTCGATTATATCTACGTTGTCCAGCTACATATGAGGGCCACAACTCACTAGACACTTCCCTCTGAAAAATAACGTCGCCCAATTTAGGACGTCATCAGGTTGCGAGCGCATGTTCGAATATCCAGAAATGACGTCATGATAGAACAATGTTTTATCGTGAAATTTAAATAAACCACGCTTCGTTCTTCATTGGTCTTTGTGATTTGTGACGTTGCTATCGTATATTTCTTCCTGAATGTCAAGGCCTATAAAATACACGTGTTTTGTTTGACAGGCTTTGCTTAGAAGTTGACTGATGACAAGGTAAACACAAGTTATAGATAACAAGTTCTTTATTTTACTGTAATCGCCACGTTTCAGAATAGATATTATACTTTTGTCAAGCAAGAACTCTACTTTGTAAATATGTTATTGTTATTTTATTTTTTATTAGTATTTAATAGACTCCGCACTCCCCTATACATGTGCTTGTTGACAATGCACGTCTGGTATTTCCAATACAGGGCTGACGTGTGTGAGTGAGTGAATCAGGGTTAGAGCCGCTCGGAGCACTATTTCCGCTATACCACGCGCATCAAAAAGTGGAGCAGGTTCTAACCACCTCAGAATTTGCGAGTGTTTGGTGCAGGTAAAATAAGATTGATAGAGCCGTGCCCACGTTCATAGGATCCTGTCAAGGAAAAGGGACGCAACTCTGGAACTGGTGACCCCTATTAGAGTGACTGACATGTTCTTTGTCAGAGGCAGATCGACACTGTCACGTGGTCACATGTAGCTCATCATCTCCGTGCGTAGATCAGCCTGGGGGGTTATGAAAAGGTAAGAGAACTATCTTGTTATAATTTAATAGGAAATGAATATTGTTGCAGTGATTCGTGGATCGATTTACTTTATGATTATCCTCGATGTCCAAACAATGCCGTGGGAGACAATGGGAAGCACATTTAATTTCACATCATGCCAATTTGCAATGATACAAGTACAATGGGTACCGTATTCGACGTGATAAGCGCCCTGCTCTACTAAGCGCCCACGGCGATATTTGCTAATATATTGGCTAGTGAACAAAACCAATTAGCACCCCTTCCGATTGATCAATGTACACAACACTTATTTATTCGCGTATAATACGTACTAGTGTGTTATATGCACCCTTAATTAAGGGCATTTACATTCTGGAAAAATGTATCTCTCGTATATTAACATGTCAGGCTGTCAGCATAAACCACGAAATTTATCTTTCAATTCTGTCTTTTTCACCAAAATAATATTCTAATAAGAGCCCCCTATTTCTAATTTTGAGAGCGCCCTGGGCGCTTATTAAGTCGAATACGGTAGTTAAAAACAATAGTTTCATGCTCTACCCGTTTAGGATTATTGGAGACAATTTTTTTTGTAATCATGTTTTAACCATGAATATTCACCAATATACAAAACATATAACAAATTATATTTAATACAGCATCGGTAATGTACGGTGGCCCATAAGGGACATGGATGGATATGGAGTTTGTTTTCCCATATTTTGTGTTTTCCCATAAATATTATTACCACGGTGGAAAGAGTTTTCTGTGGTTTCATTTTAGTTTTTGACATTTTCGTTTTGGTATTTGACATTTCCAATTTCGTTTTTGACATTTTCGCTTCACATTTCAGCGACTCAATAGGTACTTGAAAGTACATTTTCCATGTTTTCGGTTGTTTTTATACATGATTTATTACATATTTGTATGACAAATTGTGTTAATTTGCTAAAGGTTACGATAAAAGTATGTGAAACATCAAAATATGGAAAAACAGACTCCATGTCCCTTATGGGCAACGGTAGTAATGTAACACAGATTATGACATCCCTTGCCCTTAAATATAGCGCGACATGTAGCCCTTTTATGACCAGGAAGTGACAATTAGAAAGGACGAGAGTCTGTCGACTTTCAAAGACCTCAAAACCAACCAAGCATGTCGTTTCAATCGTGTTCATTGAATGAATGGTTGCCGGTGGCGTGTTGCGCGAGTACCCTGCTGATTGCCTACATTCACCCTATACTTACATAACAAAGGTGACACAGATGGACACGATAATTAGCGAGTTAGCGTTAAGTTGTTAGAGCCGCCATTGACCTGGATAACGACCGAACATGTCTCAATTTCATGCATGGTGTAGACAGTATGGCTCAATTCTCGGACTTCTGTAGCAGTTCTGTAGTCTTATAGAATAAGTACATTGCATTTGTGTTAATTAACATTACATTAACACAAATCTGGAACCTTGTGGCTGCTTTTCTGTGGATATATCTTATATGGAAAGGTGATACCTATGGTAAGTGTTTAAAGTTATTTATACCAGTCACGTGGACGCCAGGTATAGTCAAGCATATTTTATTTAAAACCGATTGCGTTGCTCTACATTATATTGATTGATCATCCAAAACATACAGATCCAATTCAGCAACTTTGTATCATAAATGGTGAATGTTATTGTAACTTGTTTTAAAATTTTTATCACGATTTTGACAAGTACCTTATTTCCTCATATAGACGCCTAGTCGCAAATTGACACCGTGTAACGTGTACAAAAAAAGGTGCCAATTTAGTGGCATTGTAGTGAATCAACCCACACCTCCCTCGAGTAAAAGAGTCAGGTCACTTTCAGACGCGGTGTCCTGTGAAACACATGCCACTATTGTGAAAAAATACACTCCAAGGCGTCTATTGGAGGATAAAGAGTGAATATGGTATTTAATATTTTGTATTCATACCTTCGTTTCTTATATAAAAACACAGGTGTATTGCAGTTTTCACGGTTGGCCGTCGCTGCACATGTACAGTGTCCGGCAACACCCTATCCTCTGCGCTACTACTGTGAGTGAGGTGAGGTGAAATTGGGTTTAACGTCGCGTCAAAGATTATTGCACTTAAAAAAGCGACGTGCATCCACGTGTGTGTGGCTGCTTGTACTAGTCCGGACTGATACCGATTTATAGTGCTAGCTCACTGAGATACCATGCCGCAGTTTAACATGAATGCCCCACTTAGACACAGTATACTGACTCCGAGCCGACCAGTCCTTGTTTTAGCCCCTTAAAGCCTAGCGCCAGACAGGGTAACAACAAGTACCATCTTTTAACGTCTTTTGGTATGATGCGGCCGGGGATCGAACTCCGGGCGGACGCTCTACCACTAGACCACGGATGCGGTCCTTCTGTGAGTGAAGTTATTACGACTACCTATAAATAATCCAACCCTGAACAGGCAAGCCGGTGGTGGATGCCGTGAGAATCGCTGTCACACAACCAGCCTGAACATGTACACATGTGACCATCATCCGCATCTAAGTATAGTCAGCTATAGCGACACGCATGGGGTACTAGAGACCATTGTCCCGTGTTCCCACGAGGCTAGGTCTATCGGAGACTGTGATGCGGTAACATTGTGTCATGTCAACAACGGTTTACACTCAGCCAGCTCGAAATCACTGCACCTCAGAGTCCATACCAGACTACAGATCTGTGACTGCTGACGTATAGGAGTGATAGCTAGGTATAGGTAAAGAAAGCACACATAACATTGTGTATTGATATCAGGCATGAAGTAAGATGCGGCCATCTGTGGACAGAGATAGGTGAGGTGAGGTGAAATGGGGTTTAAAGTCGCGTCCAAGATTATTGCACTTATATAGCGACGTGCATGTACGTGTGTGTGTGTGTGGCTGCTTGTACTAGTCCGGAGTGATGCCGATTTATAGTGCTAGCTCACCATGCCGCAGTTTAACATAAATACCCCACTCAGACACAGTATACTGACTCCGAGCCGACCAGTCCTTGTTTTAGCCCCTTAATGCCGAGCGCCAGACAGGGTAACAAAAAGTACCATATTTTAACGTCTTTTGGTATGACGCGGTCCGGAAGGTCGAACCCCGGACCTTCCGCTCTCCGGGCGGAGGCTCTATCACTAGATCACTAGACCACGGAGGCAGGGATAGAAACTCGACACGAACATTACCAATATCTATACTGACAATGGCTGGAAACATTTGGTACTGTCCTATATAAACATGTTAGGGGGCGGTCGGGTAGCCTAGTGGTTAAAGCGTCCGCTCGTGATGCCGAAGACCCGGGTTCGATTCCCGACATGGGTACAATGTGTTAAGCCCATTTCTGGTGTCCCCCGCCGTGATATTGCTGGAATATTGCTAAAAGCGGCGTAAAACCATACTCACTTATAGACATATTAATTATTAGTGCGACCCGTGAAGATTCCTGGGTAGAAGAGGGCTTCAGCAACCCATGCTTATCGTCAAAGGCGACTAACGGGATCGGGTGGTCAGACTCGCTGACTTGGTTGATGCATGTCATCGATCCCAATTGCGTGGATCGATGCTCGTCATATTAATCACTGGATTGTCTGGTCCAGACTCGATTATTTACAGACCGCCGTCATAAAGCTGGAATCCTGCTGAGTGCGGCGTTAAACAACAAACCAACAACAATTATTAGTGCATCATGAATATGAAGTAACATTAAAACACAATCCTAAGATAGTAACAATTCATGTGTCATACCTGTGTCTCACAAACGTGCGTGGCATGGTGAACACATTTCAGAAACAAACGATACTTCTAATCCTCTAATGCCCCTGAAATTCAGTTTATTGTTGGCTGAGAACGCCCCGTTTACAACAACTCCTTTTCCTGTTTGAAACAAAAACAAATGACTACAATGTTATGTTATATATTATTAATGTTAATGCAAAGACAGGTAATAACTTTTTATAGTCTTTTTATAAAATAAAAAAACATGTTCACTTGGTAGCATCTGTATTAAAACTTTTGGTATCCATCAATATATCTCTTTTTAAAATTCTCCATAAACTGATATTTCAACTATTTTAGTGTTCTACAGGCTTAATTCAATATTTTGAATAACAAGTTTATGTGTGTGAACTTGTTGATTTCTTGCGAGAATCGTTTCATGTAGATTCTTTCATCTTATACACATAACTATATTGAAGTTTTACGTAACAATAGAGCTATCAACAAGGGCGCGGAGGAACAAAGGGTTGAAACGCCAGTGCATTAGTGTATTCATGCAAGGTGCTGGCGACAACCCACCTGTGGACAAAACACCAGGGAACAAAGAACGCTACGAAAACATGCCCTGAGGAAAAAATAGGTTGTAGACCAAGGACGAATATAGATCTATATAGGTCTTTGTGCTGACCAAAAGTCCCAAATTTCATGTAAATCCGAATATTCTAAAACAACACCATTTATGTACTTATTTACACATGAAGTAATTCAACATATATAATTATTTCACATCTCGGTTATGTGGAGAAGAACCAGTCGAAATTAAGTCGGGGCAACACACTGAACATGATTCGATTCTGGCATCATGTAATATTACAACGATGTGACAATGTGACCCTGGTCGGGCCAATCTGACCTGCCTTACGGGTGAAGCTTGAAGGTCAAGGTCATCTAGATAGCCTCCCTGTCGTACAACTGTGTCCTTGAGAGTTACTTGCGCGTCTTCTCTCCGAAGCCATTTGTTATTAACACTGAGCTCATAGCGAGCTGGGTTGGTCTGTGAGACATGTGAGTACTGCCTCTGTACTTAGGTAATATAGAATGTGAATAGAACCTTTGCAATCCTATAATTCATTATGATGTATTGTATTGTAAGTAAACGTTTTGGTTGTCCATTCCAGAACTCCTTATCGTGTAAATACTCGACCCTTAACCCCTTCACTGGAAACATCTGTGGACTTGGTGTTAAAGTAAAGTCATTATAGTACCTCATTCCTACGTTTCTAGGTGTGCTGCGTGAAACATCGGTGAACCCGAAGTCTCCAACATCGCCATTATTATCATCACATTAGTCCAAAAGAGTAATATTAGTATTTATCGTTCTACTTGCTTTCACATGCAGTATTGTTTTGAGGTGGTGTATAAACTCCTGAACAATTTGTCCTTTACGATCACATCAAAGTGCAGCAGAAAAAGATGTTGGAGATTTAACGAGCGCTTCTGGCTGGTCCTATTTAGGACATATATTTTATATTAAAAATTATTTTATATTATATATATTTAAAACTATTATGTATTAAAAATTATTTTATATTATTTATTTAAAACTATATTATATATTATATATATTATATATTATATTAGTCACAATGATAAAGGTTACTTGTTGTAGACGGACCGCCTCCGTGGTCTAGTGGTAGAGCGTCCGCCCGGAGAGCGGAAGGTCCGGGGTTCGATCCCCGACCGCGTCATACCAAAAGACATTAAAAGATGGTACTTGTTGTTACCCTGTCTGGCGCTCGGCATTAAGGGGCTAAAACAAGGAGTGGTCGGCCCGGAGTCAGTATACTGTGTCTGAGTGGGGTATTCATGTTAAACTGCGGCATGGTATCTCAGTGAGCTAGCACTATAAATCGGCATCAGTCCGGACTAGTACAAGCAGCCACACAAACACATACACGTACATGCACGTCGCTATATAAGTGCAATAATCTTGAACGCGACGTTAAACCCCATTTCACCTCACCTGTTGTAGACGTTCCCGTTTAACCCCAGGCTGTGAGTTCTGTTAGAAACCTAGTTGCGAAGCCAACAAGAATCGGGAGATGACTTCAAGTTGTTAACTTTTGTTGAAAATTAATCCCCAAACATACGGCTCATCAAGATAACACCGACATGGTGATAGGAACCTTTTGTCTTGAACAAGTCTACGCGGCCTTTTTCATCTAATATCTAGTGAATGAAAAGCAAATATTTTTTGCCAAAATACCACTGCAGGGTAACTTGTGTGAAAGCCAGAAGATCTTCACGGAAATTTTACATAAACTTTTTATCCACATGTTTACGAAACATTTTAATCTGCTTTGATCTATGTAACGTGTGATTACTTCTTTTCTTGCCTCCCTAAATTGGTGACACCTTTGTGAGAGCAGCATGCAGCATGTTTACAAAGCACCCTAATCTGGCTTCAATATGTTTAACAAAGCACCCTAATCTGTTTTAATCTCTTAATCCCAACTGTTGGTGTCTGCCACACTTCGTTATGACGTCTATAGCTACCACTCACTACAGTTGTGACACCCATGTACTTTTTTGTCAGTTGTTTCTTCGCTAATTGTAAGAATCTATACCAAAACGTCGCTCACTATAACCGTGGACCATCTACGTCCTAGCGTCTGTTCTCACTGGTACACTGGCTGTCCTGGAGTAAGAGATAGATAATCCTGTCTAATAGGATAACGATCATGTTTATGTTTCAGTCATGTAGCCACTATGTGAGGCTTTAGTAATCACACCTACTACAGAATGAAGACAGTGGCCCCAATCTGCTCTAAAAACACGAAGAGCTGGTAGGCGACGTGAGCACAGGTCGTAGAAATGAGACGGTCTACCTGCCGTTAATTACGGCTTACTGTGCAACTAATTCCCCCGAGTAAAGGAGCTACCGGTGACATGTAGTTCAGTTGTGACAGTCCTTTCACCAATTAGGGGTATATATGAAGACTTGTGGACAGATGGTGATTCTTCTGTGCATGGTTCATTATGGCGAAGCTACTCCGATTTGCTGTCGTTGCGTTGAGGTTAATCCTGACGTATCTGTCAGAAAAAGCTGAGGATCCGATTCGGGAGGTCAAGGATGAAGAGAAGGCATGTGTGCCCAAGCACAGCTATCGGAAAAGAGCATCTACGGGAATCTACGACGACATCGACGACGAATCCACAATCGCATCTTCATCCATGGCATCGACTTCCAAGCTCTCACTGTCCTCTGGTATTGGCTCTTCTATCTGCTCTATTGACGAACACTGCGGATCTTACAGCCATGGTAACGGAGATTTTCACTTTGAGTCCCAGGAATTGTGTCGGATGGGAGCTGAGATCGAGCGACTCCGTCTCGAAAACAGGACGCTCCGGGAGAATCTGACACATGACAGTAACGACACTGTCAGCATCAGCATACAACATCCTCGACGTCGTGAAACAACGGTGGTGTGGACGGAGGATTGGGAGGAGACATGTATCGTGCACTCCAGAAAAGTCAACTTGTGTGAGCTGTCTGGCGACAAGGACACTGGTAAAAGTACGTCATCGGCGTCGACATCCGACGTCAGCGCACTAGAGGTTGTCCACCAGAAGCTGAAGAGGAAACTCCGACAGGTGCAGGAAGAGAACTGCCGACTGACAAACTACATCAACGACGTCATGTACATCGTTCTCGACAACAAGCCTCACCTCCTGGAGAAGTAACTGTGGACGTTGATGAGTTCCCCTCGCTAGTGCTAATTGCATGGTACATGTGTTGCTTGGACATAGTTTCGTTAAACTATTTTTTCATATTTCGCCAAAACAGGATTGTTACAGTCGACCATTTTACTATGAATATATATATTTTATGTAAAACTGTAAAAACAGGAGGTTATTATTTTGGGCAACAGCGACATATGTAATTGTTAATTATTGTTCACATGAACACAAAGTTGTCTGGATAAACGAGCTGTATTGTGCAGTCTCTGTGTGGAACGTGTTAATTTGAAGGTGTTTTGAAGTGATAGTTTATATATGTACTTCAAGTATGCACATTATAAAGTATAATTCCTATGATGTATATATCAATTACTTAAGTCCTTAATTACCTTAAGTCAGATTTGGGGCACTATGGTTGCTGTGGTTTAAGGTGTCGCAATTCGCTGTGCAGAGTTGCGCCCCTTAGCTGTACAAGGACACACTGAGCGTGGGTTGGCATCTCAGGTACTCCCTGATTGTGATCCATGGTTTGTCAGCACCATACCCGTGCTCGTGGGTTTCACCGAAGTGGTAAACGTCTGAGACCTGCATCAATTCGGGCTTTCCTCCCACATTAAGCTGACACGGCGTGATACAACTTAACATAGTTTTCAAACTGGTGATAAACATTGCGACCTCACTCACCAAGTCAGATTTGAACCTACAAGAAACCTAAAGATTCATACACTGTTTTACATTAAATATCCACACCAAAGAGCACCATGCTACAAATGTGTATATGCTGTATTGTCCTCAATGCTATACGATTTACTGTTATACCGTGTATGTATTTGTGTAACCATGTTACTGTTATATGTTGTATTAAGTCATATCACCCTTTTATTGACGACATAATAAATGTTCGTAGTGTTTATTCAATGTGTTCTCGTGTCTCTGTGTAATGTGGTACCAGCCGTCCAAAAATGGCGCAGCTGCAGCCATTCGCTGTGCAGAGTTGCGTCCTTTGGACACGCCAAAAACCTATGTTAGGCTTCTGGGTTTGTGGCAACAACTTATTTATTCTGGGCAGCCAGATTACAGCCAGCTGGGACAGAATGGGTTTATTCCGATTCTTTTTCCTCTTTTTTCAGTTTGTGCATTCTACCAATGGCAACATCATGCACTGACTTAACCCACTCTGAAAGACAGTCAACAGGTTCACAACAAGACATACAATCAAGAAAGGACTTTCTTTGTATTCAAAGAGTATTTGAGACAAGTGGAAATAATACCATGCAACTCAGAAAAGAACCAAGTTCAATTATAACAAATAAATTGATTTTTCAATTTTGTACACCGCTATCCCACACGATAAACCTTCCTACCTTGACACGGGGCATTTGTAACTAAGTGTGGTCACGCACAGGTAACTGGGCATTCGGGTGTAACGAATGTCCAATTACGCATCCGTTATCTGACATAACATACAACAACAAAGTAATAAGCAGATTTAAAAAATTTTCAAAATCACTAAATAATTGAAAATATACACGAAACAAACATGCTGCACGGAAATCTCATGCAGTACCTTGTAACACATAATATTTAACTATATCGGTGCTGCATGTACACTCTCCCTGGGGGACCGACCACTTGATATTAATATCCTGAGGGAGGGCCTGGGATTTTGAATTGAGATTAGATATTTTACAGTAACAGCTACAGAGCCAGATATATTTTTTTTTATCGAAATCGTTTACTTAAATACTGAGGATCTAAAAAATACCTGTCAGTTGATTTCATAATATGTTAGCTTGTCAATGGCGCTTAGGCAGCACACAAAGAATACATGTTTTGTGTCTTTTTTAAAGAATTTGATTAAAATCTTAAAATAAAAACTACGCAAAATACATAATCTAAGACATCTAATCAAGGATACATAGTGAGTTTTATTGTTTCACGTTAAATGTACACATATGTACACATTTACACGTCTTCTAAGTAGTTTTAGTATAAACAAGGGATATGATTTATTGTTTTATCCAAATTTGACGCAATAGTGAAATAAATTATGTCCGATGCAATTCCCTATTTTAACTTGTATCATGGATGGATGGATGGACGGACGGACGGATGGATGGATGGATGGATGGACAGTCTTTGTTTCCTCCAGTACTGAATATGCATTATATAAGATAGATACATGAATATAGATTAACACTAAACAATCTAGTTACATGTCATAGTGAAGGGGGTATGAACAAGTGTTGCCACGTGTTAACTTAATGAGAGACGAGTAACATAGTTTCGCCCCATATCTCAAGCTCAAGGTTTTTCATGCAATCAGGCAGTCCGCCTAAGAGGAAAGACATGATAACATCATCATCATTCGACCAGAGGTCAACAAAGCAATACGCATCTGTGATATCAAAGATATTTTCGAACATTTCATTTCTCCCATGCATATTAAAAGTACGTGACATGAAAATGTGTTTGACTATGTCATGGGCTACAGTTCCGCAATGACATTCTCGCGATTCTAGCTCAGAGCATCCTGTTTTGACCATATTAGACAGAACATAAAACTTTGAAGGAAAGCGTTGAGGAAAGTTGTAAAATCCTGTGTTGACCTGATCTGATACTAATATATCTTAACAGGTCCAGTCGGTCGCACATTTGAATCACAAGCATTACAGAATCTACATTTCTTATCTTTTCATTCACAAGACTAGTTCATTTACATTTACTGGGAACAGTACAATTAGCTATGTAATAATTCAAGACATGGAAAAGATCGTATTATGAACAAGGCACGGCGTGTTGAAACAGGGAGATTTATAACATCTTTTGTCAAAATCTGGTTGACGCGAACACCTGGTATCATCACTATTTGATAGTAATTCATTAATACATACTCATTATTTAGAACTAAGAGACTCGTATAATCCACTCTGCTTTTGGCAGACATTTCTTATGAATATGGAAAGGGTTTTGTTGCTTTTATTTGAAACATTTCATGGATATATTAAAAAAAACATTCCATAAATATATATACAGACAGCGGACAAATGTGTAACTATTAAACATTGACGTAAATAACGCGCATATAAAGGAAATAGACCAGTTAATAATTAACAAAATTTCGTAAACTATTGCTGTTATGAAATATTGTATACCAGTCATCTGGCAAGAGGTTGTAAATGATAACACAACATATGTAAAACTAATTCTCAACTGTGAGAAGGCTTCGCATCGGAAGATGTAGTGCTATTCATCACCTTATTCATAAGTCCTTTCTTCTCTTGGCATATTATTCTTACACGTCTCAACCGAACAGTAAGGGATTGCAATCCTAAACTTTTATATTAGATGCCAGATCATTGAATATGATATTTCTTTATTTCCGTACTGAGGAGGCCACATGCCTGTTGTACATTTATAATAAGTACATTCAGGGCAGTGGAGTCTATAACATAATAATTTTCCAGTGTCTCATTGCATGATAAATTTACATAGATAAATTTTGTAAAAGTAAGTACTTCGAGTTGTTTAAGAGAGATGTGAATTTAAAGAAATTGGGATTGACATAGTAATACATGTATTCAGGTATATACTTAGCCCTTAATGTTGCAAATGGTCATATACAAACGAGTGATATTCATCTTCAATGTCATTCAGGGCGCACAATTGACAAATGCTTTCTTCTCTTTTAATACCCGTGTAATGTGAACAACGTCGAAATCTTACATTTATCATGACCCTGGCCCCATTCTTATCTGGTATGTCCCATGCCGGATGGATGGGAGTTGGATATGGTCAGTCGTCGTGATCCAGTTGTAGATCGTCGTTGATGTTCATCACCAGTGTCAACGTTCCTGTGTGGGTCACGAGTGTTTCGGTTGTGCTCTGTCTGTCTATTCTCCTCCTTAGCCATCTCAACAAGTTTATTTCCTTTATAATAATACCTGGTATTTGGATTCTCGGCTCTTAGTCTAAACAATTCCTGTCTCCTTACATGTGTGTTGGTCAGATCGTTGGCTATACCAACTCCTTTCTCTCTGAGAACTTTCCCCCATTTTCACAGACTAACATTTGTCCTCCAAGTTACACATTTTAGCAATAATTGGCCTTGTCTCATTGGGACTCTTAGTAGAGATGCGTTGTGCTCTTTCAATGTCTCTTGCATTTAGCGGTTGTAGACTTTTATGTCGTCTGGCACTGTTCAGGACTTCGAGTACCTTGTCTTTGCTTTCAGTGTAATTTTCGTCTTGTTTCTCCGGGAAACCTTATAATACAATGTTGCTTCGCCTACTTCTCCTTCATATATATAATATATAAACCACATATTCTGTGTTGTTTTCAGCCAACCCAACTGACGCCAATCAGTAGACGTCATGACAGGTGCACCTAATCACCAATCAAGACGCCTGTTAAATTCTTTAATCATTGCAACTCCTCATTGAACACATGTTTTGATAACATGGCAATCAATTAACACGATTGCAAAATATCAATGGCTAGCGTGCTTATGTCTTCTGTCTGATTATGCACTCAAGCAGGTCTTTCAAGAAATATTATGGACGGTTGTAACGGCAGCTATGTACACATTGTGTCATATCCTATCAAACACCCATTACACGAGCTTGTCGAGGGATGTTTGCCAACTAGTAGGTGGTTGATAATAGGAAATAGGAAATGAACTATTCTCGAGAACAATGTTCAAGGTGACATCAATCATTCGACTCTGACATTAAGCCACGATGAGTTTCGACCCTATAAAACATGGGATGGGAAGGTTTCATGATCACATTCAGTTTCACACCTGTATACGATTCTACAGACTTTATTACACATACACGGAAGTTTATCATACGTCATGCCTGGGATTGTGTTGAACTGTTTCAAGATGATTCTGAAGATAATTATAAAAATCATCTTCTACTTTCTCCGATCAGCATTCAAGAAAGATGGTGAAGCTACGAAAATGCCACGACCAGGAACCCCAGCTCGACAAAGAACATCGTCCCCAGTGGAAGAGCATCACAGAAAGGATGAAGGTTTCATTGATGACATCTCGTCCGTTCACTCCGAGATCTCGAACGTCACGGACGTCCAAGATGGCGACAGTGGCACATTTGCCGAATACGACATTCCCGGGCAAGAACGAGATTTGTATCAAGAGCAGATCCTGGAAAATCTATGGGAGGAAAATCGTCGTTTACACCTGCAAGTGATGAAGAAAAGCAAAACTGATTTTGATGTAATGTCATCTAGTGTATTTAGGTCCACGGATGTGCTGCTGAAAACAAGAACGAGTGTTGATGATGAACTCACTGCCTCAGACCCAGATGCCGTTTCACAAGGACCATCGGTTGAACATGTCAATGCTGGGTCCACATTATTGCAATCAGCGGATGTATTGCTCCTTACACAGTCGAGAAGGGGAGTCAAGAGAATAGCTAATGTCTTCACTGCTAGAGACACAAATAGCGATGATGTCGTTTCACAAGGGCCATCGGTTGAACATGTCAATGCTGGGTCCACATTATTGCAATCAGCGGATACATTGCTCCTTACACAGACGAGAAGCCGAGGTTTGCTCAGTAGTGTTGATGATGTCTCTACAGCTAAAGACACAGATGTCAGAGTTGATGAAGACGTCGTGTCCAACTTAGTAAAATGGCGACCATTGGGTGTCTTACAGCAAATGCTCACCACGAGGACAAGGAACATGTTCGTCAGTGTGCCTGGCGTCTCCGCTGCCACAGACACGGATCAGAGAGAGGATGAAAACGTCAAACAGATATCTGTAACCGAGGCTAGATCTCTTCCAGCGGATGAAAGAAAGGACGAGGACACCCAACAGATCACTGAAACCCAGACTAGAGATCACATGGGAGTTGGCAGCAAAACACAAGCAGAGAGCAAGAACAT